AAGTAATATGTATAGCCAAGAAGACCTCACTGCTTAGTAATAAAGAATTATGCTGAAAGTTCAGTTTTTGGTCCAAGGTTCAATTTTATTCCAATGTTATTGTTAAACAACATTTGCAATAAAATTTATTAAATATTTAATATCCAAGGTTGAGAAAATATGTAGGTAAGTTGTACCTGGTAGAGTAAAGATTCAGAAAGCTGCCGAGCCATTTTGTTTGTTATTGAGATTATTTGCAGAAAAAATACGAAAAATCGCAAACATGCATGTAAAGAAAAATTAATTTGGAAGAAATAGAAAATACTCCCTACACCACCTGCAGCACATGTGCATTTGTTATTTGTTATAAACCGCGCTTATTATTTTATTTACATAGGTTTCTGGTAAAATAAAAAATACAATAAGTACTAGACTGGGCCAAAAAAATTGACTATTTTTTTTTTGAAAAATATATCGAGAATGTCATTCAGAATGACAAAAAAAATATTTCGTGAAAATTTGAGCCCTTAATATTAATTTTAAGAGGTCTATCATCACTATTTTTGATTTTTAGTCATAATTTGATGTTTTACGTTAGAACTGTCAAAATAATAAAGTGAAAAAAATTCCTTTTCACTTATTTTTGAATAAAATTAAATTCTCTACAAAGAAGGTCGGATTGAAAATTTTCGTCAGACGAGCCGTTTCCAAGTAATTGAGCTTAATAAATCGATGTGTTTTTTCGATTTGCCCTTTTTACTTTGAAATTTTGTAACTAATAAATCAATGAATATTTAAAAAAGCTCACATCGGATTCTTAAAGTAAATTTAATGTTCTACAAAAAAGGTCTCTTAACATTTTTGCCTAAATTTAATTTTTCAAAAGTTATTCACGATTAAAATCGAAGAAAAACTTAAAATTTCAATTTTTTCTTCGTGAATAACTTTTGAAGAATTAAATTTAGGCAAAAATGTTCCGAGACCTTTTTTGTAGAACATTAAATTTCCTTTAAGAATCCGACGTAAGCTTTTTTAAATATTCATTGATTCATTAGTTACAAAATTTCAAAGTAAAAAGGGCAAATCGAAAAAACACATCGATTTATTAAGCTCAATTACACGGAAACGGCTCGTCTGGCGAAAATTTTCAATCAGACCTTTTTTGTAGAGAATTTAATTTTTTATAAAAATAAGTGACAAGGAATTTTTTTCACTTTATTGTTTTGACAGTTCCAACGTAAAACATCATATTATGACTAAAAATCAAAAATAGCGATGATAGACCTCTTAAAATTAATATTGAGGGCTCAAATTTTCACGAAATTTTTTTTTTGTCATTCTGAATGACATTCTCGATATATTTTTCAAAAAAAAAAAATAGTCAATTTTTTTGGCCCAGTCTAATAAGTACACAATTTATATTTTTTAGTATTTGTCAAATTTTAATGAATATTTATTGTGTGTATAGAAGGTATTATTTTTATTTGGAAAACAAGTTCTAACAATGAACAGAATACCTTTATAGAGTTCACCGTTAATTAACTGGTTTTACTTGACACTTGTTTTTTGCCGCTAAGGGGCATTCAAGTAACACGTAATACCCTAGTAAATATTTTACATACGAGTCTTCCACGTGATTTTTTTTAATGTGCACCCATTCAGGAGGAGTCATGCAAACATGTGCACTGGAATGTATGGTTAAGTGTTGCCACTTGTTGTTTAAATACTTTTAAAATAAAGCATTACCATTGGAAAAGTTAGGTCATTCAAAATAGAGTATTATAGTCTAAAATCATTTCCATTACTTTCAGCAAGATATAATAAATCATATCATTCATTACACATTCGTAGAGCGGGAATAGTCTATTTTCAGCTCAGTATTAGACTATTTAAGTATGCGTTTTTATGAAGTTTTTAAATTCCAGATATTTATTATTCGAGGGTGCAACATTGGGACTCATTTTAAGTTTTCTATTCTCTTTTGATTTGTTTACAATAATTAAAAGGGAGGTTTAAAGTGCTATCGCGAGTGCAAAACCTTCTTAGATCACATTGAGGGGGTTGCTTAAGGTCTTGACCAGGAGTAGCATTTAGTGTAAAAAATATTTGCAGTACAAAATGTGCTTTTAAAATGCCAATTTACCCAAATTAGGGGCAAAAAAACGTCACGCAACCCTTAAATCTCCGTCATTTGCATAAAAAACATAAATAAGAGCTTAAAATATAGTTAATATTAATGATAACATGTGTATCTCAAACGGTTTTTTTACACCCTTTATCTTATCCCATGGTAATAGGAACTTATTTATTTTCTGACACATGTTTTAAAACATCCTGCATTATGCCTTTATATTTTGAAATCAACTAAAGTTAAAAAAAAAATATAGTAAAAAACTATAAAATTAAAAAATGTAATTGAAAAAAATAATGTGGTTGTTATTTGGGTAATTTGGATTTTTTATGTTTGTTCAGCAAATCTAAAACAACACAATCTGACTAGAAAGGTCTAAAGAATAAAACATGGCAAATACTTTTGGGTGGTTCCACGTCAAATCAAACCCCTTTGAACCAGACCCCTTTCGATTTGACTAAATTTTTTTATATTTTTCTACCCCACTAAAAATGTTTTTCAGATTTTTTTTTACCCAACCAAAATGTTAAAATGGCTTTTTTTTCAAATACCCATAACTTTTTGACTAAATGGAACGTTTTTGATAAGTTTTATAATTTTTTTCAGTTTTTGTCATTTTTTACTTTATGTATTTTTTTATAAAAAACTTCGAGATTTATTCTGAGATTAATGCCGCTTTTTCAAAAGTTTCCATTGAAAAACTTGTTTTATTACTATAATAAAATCAATTTAAATAATTAATGAGAAGAATTAAACAGATGATTGTCTTTTTGTCCGAAATTTTTCGAAATCAAATGAGCATAAAATATGTACATTATTTAAACGCCAAAGAAAATAGATATTTATTGTAAGTAGCCAATAAGATATAAATAAATAAATACGAGTGAATTCTCACGTATTTTGTTTTATTAATTGTCATTAAACACTAGTGTCGTATAATGGGTCATGAAGGGTCACAAACCCATATAATTATGCTTATGTAATATGTGAATTGTGGATAAATAAAATAAATCGTTTTTTAAATTAGTATAAAAAAATTTTATTCGTGGTAATTGTATTAACCATAAAATCATAATCAATAGGTTAGATTATAAATAAAGTGTAAAATATCATAGAACCATTTACTTAAATTGATTTAATTAGAAAATAAATAACGATTGGGAAAAAATAAATTTTCACTAGTAATACTGTTACGGCTAATGTGCAAACTTGGATAGTTTATAAACTAGCTGGATAGTTTATAAACTAGCCAAACTGTCAGCTATTTTAATTGAAAACATATTTTCAACTAAATTAGCGGCTAGTTTACAAAATAACCAAGGATCTTGGCTAATTTACTTGAAATTATTAGGGAAACTAAAATAGCTGGATAGTTTGTATAGGTACTATCCAATTCAGTTTGGCTAGTATGAAAACCAAAATTTCTAGTAACACAAAATAGCCAAGCTTTAGATAGTTTGTAAACTAACCAGCCAATTATCTGGTTAATTTCGTATAACGTCACAATTTTGACTTTTGCGGGATTTTGCATATTTTCGCAATTTTTGCCAATTTTGTTGGGTTTGCTCATATTTTAGTTGGGTTTTCCTCTCATTTTTGCCCATTTTAGTTGGGTTTGTTGCTCAATGGGGCGGGGTCGGTTGGGTTTTGTTGTTGAGTTTGGGTTTTTTCTCTCATTTTTGACCATTTGACCAATGGGGCGGGGGGGCAATGGGGCGGGTTCGGTAAGGTTGTGTTGTTGAGTTTTCTAACAAGGAAGCGTTAAAATTTTGCCTATGATTCATTTTAAAAACGTTAAAATGCTTAAAACAAATCCGGTTAAGCCGGCAAAACGAAAAACAATGCCGTAACCTCACTTATTTAATAAATTAGCCAGAGAATTAGTTGGTTAGTTTACAAACTAGTTAAAGCTTGGCTATTTTGTGTTACTAGAAATTTTGGTTTTCATATTAGCCAAATTGAATTGGATAGTATACAAACTATAACAGCTATTTTAGTTTCCCTAATAATTTCAAGTAAATTAGCCAAGATCCTTGGTTATTTATTTTGTAAACTAGCCACTAATTTAGTTAAAAATACATTTTCAATTAAAATAGCTGACAGTTTGGCTAGTTTATAAACTATCCAGCTAGTTTATAAACTATCCAAGTTTGCACATTAGCCGTAACATATATATTTCATTAGATATAGACATTTAATTCATTCCATTCCAAGTCCAGCATTTTCGCCATTAAGAAGGAGGTGTCCAAAGAGTACATCTTAGCTTTGTAATTGAAATGTATCAAAATTATCATGTAAACAAATAAAAACCATATTGTCAAAAAATATTCTGTCATTATAACGTCAAAAAATTTGGGTACCCACGAGGAAAAATATTCCACTAAAATTCATGTGTTGCAATGGTGATCTTTCAAAAATACAGGTTTTGATTGGTTGGTGTGGAATTTTCCATGAAAATAAAACGGAAACAAAAGTCGACCCATTAAGCAGCATTAATCGGAGAATAATTTTATGAAAAAAAAGAAATAAAAATTTAAAATGGCGAACTTTTAGTAATTTTTTTTTAATGTACATTAAAGAACTAAAAATTAAAAAAAAAGACCCATATAGTCAATTTTTTAAAAAGTTATTGGTATTTGAAAAAAGCCATTTTATTGAAAAATTTCTCTTTGGGTAAAAAAATTGGAAAACATTGTGAGAAAAATTTTTAGTGGGGTAGAAAAAATTCAGCCAAATCGTAATTCCCTCTCTTCATACTCACACTTTAAATTTCTTGTTTACAAAGTTTTACTTGTTTCATATGACAATTTAAGCGCAAGCCCCAATATTTTAGAAATTACCAAAACAAATTAAAACTAAATGTTTTAAGAGGAAAATAATGTAAAAAAAATATTCAAAATGTATTATAATTAATTTATAAAAACTACACAATTTGAAAAGAATCAAAATTATTAACAAGAAAATATTTATAAAATAGTATAATAATAGAAGAAAACATGATACATTCACAATAATAAAATGGATTTTGAGATCAATAGTAAATATAAATACCACTTCATCCAAAATCTTCTACGGTGAATTATGATTGCTTTATACAAAAAAATAATTAATAACAAGTTACTTTTTTTTTACGGGCCTTTCTTTTTTATTAACGTGTTCAAGGAAATGATCCTTGAAAGCGTAAGGTATGATTTTACGACAAAGAACGCAAAATTTTGAACCGAATCTTATTCCAGCTGCCAAATCTTTGCCTTCTAGGTTTAATCTTATTTCATTTGCGGGTGTACAAACTTCTTCATCTGTGGATTCGTTTTCATCAGCTATTGGTATTACATATTCATCATCATCATCATTATCATCGTCATCGTCATCGTCAATTTCCGTTAGTGAAGTATTATTTGAGGGTGTAGGTTGCGCTTCTTTTAGCGAATATCGAGTTCTTCTACCTATTGGAGATTCAGGGATCACATCTTCATCATCAATTTCTACTACAGTAGATAATTTTGCAGGTTCTTGACCTACATCCTCATCACATGTTGGGCTTCTGGCAGATGTAGAAGGTTGCTGAGCTTTGTCATCAATGCTCCTTCTGCTAGAAGTTGATTTTCTCGATGCTGCATTTGAGACGGATGAATTGCTGTCACTTTCCAGGTTTATAACAGCATCAGGTTTTCTTTTTAACCTTTTTGATGATATACATTCACTAGCGTCCGAGTCTGACGAATCTGCGTATTGCTGATTCTTACGAATTTCAGCCCGAAGCCAATCGTCGAAGCCAGGTTTTTCATATTGAACGCGTCGTTTATTACGGCCACGCGGTAAATCATTCACACGTTCAGCATCATGTCCACGATCCTGAACGTTTTGTTTGGCCTTTTTAGCGACTTTGGAAACATGTTTTTTGTGTTGAACAGCTTTATCTTCTTCTAATAAAGAATCAGCAGTTGTATTAGTCTCTTGCGCCTCTCTTGTTGTATTTGCTTCCAAAATGGAAGAATCGGGTGTTGAAGTTCCGTTTACTTCCGGTACTTCTTCCATTCTTTCGGATTGATTTAACGATTTTTGGCTGACACTTTTAGCGAATGGATTTAACAAATTTACGCTTGTATTTAAGCTAGAATTACTTCTAAATGCAGCTGGATTTATTAAAATATGATGAGTGTGTATACACGTCCTGACATCTCTAAAATCATCCTCATTGTCCCCTGGAAAAATTAAAACAGAAATCCATCAATAAGACTACTCCCTAAATGGCTCTCTTTTAGACATGTTTATTTCTAAATTTAAAGCTGTAATAAAACAATAATTTTATATATACTCACTTTTTTTACACGAATAATTCACTATGTTCACAATCACTTTTTAACTAACCACTAAAAGTTATTGTTAATTTTAAATTGTTGATTGAAATAAACAAGAGAAAAAGACAGCATTAATTAAGAGCAGACAAGCTACAAATATAACCCATTTAGTAAAAAACATGCAATTTATATTAACTTTAAATTTACAATATAGCTACTACTCTATTTATCATACACTTAAAAATAACGAAATGTTTTATTTGGGTAATTAAAAATTAGACATTGTTTTTCCCTAGGGTATTTTAATACCCTATTGTAATGTCAAATTTTAAATAAAAAATAACACCTTTGTACATTTTTAAGTGTATAAATAAATAATAAAAATTAATAAATAAAAATATATATACAATATTTACAAAAAGTACCTAAGCCTTAGTCATGCAAGCGTTACTATGTACTAACTTACCGTCTATAGTGTCAGTTGCCTCCGGAGGTGGTATAGGTGGTAAGTCAGTTTCTGGTAGATCCGCCATGTTGTGTCCCCCCATTAGTTTTAAATCTTCCGGGTGGACACTGACACTTCCGCCCTAAAACGCAATTAATGAAAAAGATATTTAAATTTTTCAAAAAATTATTTTTTGTTTTTTCACACCAATAAAATAACCAAAAACATTTAAAACATTTTAATAGATATAATTTTAAACACAAATAAAAATATAACAATTTTTAAATCATTTATAAACAATACATTTAATGTAATATATATTTTAAATAATAACATTTTTTGAAGCAAGTTTAACATTTATACAGAGTATCTAGAAAATGGCACGCCAACTTTACAACACGTAATAGGGGAGATATTCAGAAAATTGAGGTTAAGTAATCAAAAACACAGTGTGCGCACGAGCATTTTGCGCATCCGTAGATTACTCCCAAAGTACGCACGTAAAGTTTTTAGCGTGCCCCCCCCCCCATAGCAAGTTACTCCTCCTGTTTAGTCTTCTTGCCTTTTACATTATATACGTATTTTAAACATTAAAAAATATGTACAGGGTGGGCCAAAGTTTTCACGCCGGTTTTCTCAGGTGTATTTTCAACCCCTCAACAATTAATCACAAGAACCAGCGATTTCAAACTTGGTGGATATAATAAGAGGGAATATATGAGATATCACTCTTATCGTTTAAAATTTTAGGGGTGAAACTTACCACCGCAAAAAAATTCTGATGCCTCATTTTGAAGGTCTCCTGACCCCCATTATATGCACCAAGTCGCAAGCACTTGTGATTAATTAATTATTAACCAAAAACAGACACATTTTCCAACATTTTCACCAGCTGTCATATCAATTTGAAAGTTATAATCAGGGCAAAAAGATCTTTAAAATGAAGCATCACTTACTTTTTATTGGCCCAACCTGTATATACACTGTCTACAGTCTTAAGATCGATCCCCACTGACGAAATAATTTTACGATTTCATTTAATTGTTACGATAAAACTAAAACAAACCAACCATACAACTCAACCCCACACTTTTTAAAAATTTCATTTAGTTTAATTACATAGGTATGGGGATTGTGGGTATACCTATAATACCTATAAAATATTACATCATAGCAAAATGAAGACGTGTAGGTATAATTAAATATTAATGATTTTTTATGCTATATCGTAATATTTTGTTATGTATATTCATAAAATAAAAATAAAAAGTTGGCCATCTGTGCTACACAGACTAATGTCAATTTTATAACGCTCTGGAAATAATACTGATTTATAGTGTGTGACGTCAGTCGGGATAGAACTTAAGTCCCGCCTCGGGACTCTAGACACAACGATATTTATAATAGCCAGCTGGTTTTTGCGACACCCTGTATGATAAAATTCATCTGATTATACATTTGTTTAAAAAAATGCACTAGCCTTTTATACCACACCACTTACAATATAAAGTTTTATTTTAAAAAACTATTTAGATATAAAATAATGTTTCTTAAATTTGATAACACTGCGCGTCAATATTCCTATAATATACTTAAAAATAAAAAATTGGCCAATAATTTATTTATTTTATTTTTATTGGCGTTTTAAAAATGTATAGCAAAGTTTGACTATCACCAAACGCACAGAGTTGGGTCACCCAACACCAGTGAGTTGCCGACTGAATGCATCAGCTCTATACACCAAAAATGAAAATACGGTATATTATCATTCTAGAAATGTTTACTGTCCATAAAAATGAACAATCATTTTATTTGTACCCGTAAACATGATCGAGCTAAAAATGCATAATATGCATGTTTTATTTTGAGTGTATAGTAAAAATTGCCGCACAGTGTAATCATCAAATTATTTTTTGCCCAATTGAGGTTGGTACTCCATGCATGTTTTGTGCGCTTTGCATTTGTCATGATGATTGACGATTTCCAGGCGAAAGTTGGTGCTGCCCTCTGCAAACGACGTGCGAATTATCGGTATCGAAGAACTCCATTTTCTGCAAAAAGTGCAGTACATTCGATTTTCCGCCTTTTCGTATCGCAACCATCCGTACGATTTCAGCCACGACGGGTTAAATCGGTTTTTGTTCCTTTTTTTTTTCTGGTGAAGGGCCGAAGAGCTTTCTGCGAAGGTTGCCGGTAATAGGTCTCGGTAATCTTCAGTGGGGCGGGTTTTCGAGAAGTATGGAAAATTTGGGTCGTATTGAGCTTTCGAGTTTGATTCGTCGTTTTCGTTGGGAATCGAAGTCTTTTGGTAGGACGGTCCTTTGGAGGGGGGCGCCACCTGGCTAACCACCACCTCACTCCTCAAAAATCTCTGTCAACAAAGAAGGAAAGGATATGTGTGAATGTCAACAGCAAACTTCAAACTGTTTTTTACATGTGTTATTGCTTAAACACATGTAAACAACAGTTTGTTTAGACTTTTAGTTTGTAATTAATTATATTTACAACATAAAAGTCTAGCTTTATTGATTGATTGATAATCTTTCCTTCTTTGTTTTTGAGATAATTAATAAATATAAACACCAAACACTTGGTAAACACTGCACATTTACACATATCCTTATTAATGATGTTTATTGCGAGCAGGTTATGAATAATAAGTTACAAATAGGTACTTAAAATAAATCTAAATAAGCTAAGATTTAAAAAAATTAGCTTGAGCATATGCGTTGTTTGTTTCTTGCAATAATAAGATAGTTAAGTATAAAAATATAATTATTTTGGATTAGTCTCGGTTAGCGAGTTATGAGCCAAAAAGCAAAAAAACTCCCCTTTCGGGGGATGAAATTAGGGGACGTGGAAAGAAATTTTTGGGGATTTAGGTGGAAGAACAACTTTTGTTGAACCTAGACCCTTTGTGAATGTAAATGTATACAAGCGTTGTGTATATATTTTTTTTTTTGCAATAAAGTTTATTATTATTATTATTATTATTATTCTTGATTCATTATCAGCACCCCTGACTACATAAAAAAAAATAAAACCCAACTATCATCGAGTTTTCCTTCTACAATCTTTGTTTCCTGGATTATATATTTTATTTAAGAATAAATATTACAATAAAAAAATCTGGATTAAGAATGTAATAAATGGTTGTGCAAAATCTGCAGTTGGACCTGCGATTTATTAAAATATCTAAAGAATTTAAACTATACATACGGTATATACGGTATGTCCACGGACAGGGTTACAAAGAGGAAGACAATTGATTTTACATTTCTCAAAAAATTTTATTATTGATAAAAGTTTTAAGCTTGATTTAAAACCCCCAGAAAACATTATTTTGATTGTAGGTACGTGGTACATTAAAAAAAATTAAGCTTATGTAAGCACACATTTATATTATTGTTCTGATGAGTAGTTTCTGAGTTATTGAGCATTTAGTTTAAAAAACTTGGAAAAACTGTTTGTGAAATAAGCTGAAATATTACATAATATTCTCCACAACAATTGTTATGGTAACCATTTAAGGCAGCTGAGGTTGACATGGATGGCAAATTGTGTCAAAAAGTCAAAACCTAACTTTTTATTTGCTAAACGTCAATAGAAAATTGTTTTTGTCTTTTTAGGCAAATAAAAAGTCCAAAAATATAAAATAACAGAAACTTATATTAAAAAAAAACTTTTTCTTTTACGGTACGGCATTAGTACGTCATTTTCGGGATACCCTGAATAATATAAGTTGTGGTCATAAAATCAAAATAGACAACTTTTATCTTTTATTCTACGTTTTTGACTTAATTGGATTTGTCTACTAGTCCTATAGGACAGATGATTTTAAAATCAAATAAATGTATTAAAAATTATTTTTTTCTGTGACATTTTAACAGGCAACTTCAATTTTTATGAAATTACTAGATATGTGTGGACTACACATAAATAAGAAAATGGAGATGTTTAATTTTAGTGATGCTACTTTCGCTTCTAGTAATTCCGGAGGATACAACAAAGGTTTCTATAGCAACGCAGGTCCAACTGTCGCTATAAAGTACAAAAGCCTAAATCTCAAATTCGACATGGATTGATTTTTTAGACTTAAATAATATTTTTTAATATTAAATCGTCGTTTTTCTTGTCACAGAAAAAATAGTGTATTATACATGGGTAAAAATATTAGATTTTAGCTCTCAGTGTTTTGTTACCAAACACAACCTCGAGCTAAAATCTAATAATACTTTTCCCTTGTATAATAAATAACTATTTTTCTAGCGTTTTATTTTAATATGACAATAATTTAAATTCGTTTTTACTTGGTCCAAAAGTTTTTAGGATTGTCATATTTAATTCCAAATGGCAAAATCCAAAAGTAGATAAAATTAAATTTATATTCCATATAAACTTGAAACATGCCATTTGATACAGGTAGCGCGTAAAAATCCCCCTTTATTTTTTGAACCGCGGGATGTGGAAATTTTATTATGTTAAACAAAAAATTAAGTAGGTACCTACTACTTATTGACGTCAAAAAATTGTAAAAAATATACAATTTTGGGCAGGTGAAACATCACTGCATCATAACCATCCAGGGTTTGTAAAAAATTAGTAACATAAGATTTACATTTAAAATGTGTTAGTTATCACTCAATTTATAACTTTCAAATTTTAGTGTCCCTTTTATCATTAAAGAGTTATTTTTGTCAATAAAATAAATTGCATTTTTGAAAATGGCAACGTTTAGTGAAAGTGTTACTTTTTTTGTTCCACCCAGTACAATCGGAAAAATAAGTAGTTACACGGTAAATTCTCATATAACTTGTTTCGATGCTGTATCCACTTATTTTTGTGAAAACTAATTCTCGCTCAAGGTTTTTTTTAGTGTAATGAGCAAGTAGCATTTTAAGGTAATGGGAACTTAAATTATGACAACCCTAATCTATTAATTTTTTCCTAAAATGCAGGCTTTATGTTGCAAATGTCACATAAGTTACCGGTCACCAACTGCAATATCCTAACATTGATGAATATCTTAACAAAATGGCTGTTGAAACAACTAATGTTAGTGCTTGATTAACTCAAAATAGACTTAATTAAGATTGACGAAAAATTCTTTTATCCGAAATCGGCAGTAAAGTAGAACTTTACTGCCGATTTATTTTAATTTACGATTGTTGACTACTTTACTGCCGATTTCGGATAAAATAATTTTTTGTCAATCTTAAGTCTATTTTTAGTTAATCAAGCACTAACATTAGTTGTTTGAACGGTCATTTTGTTGAAATATTCATCGATGTTAGGATATTGCAGTTGGTGACCGGTAACTTATGTGACATTTGCAACATAAAGCCTGCATTTTAGGAAAAAATTAATAGATTAGGGTTGTCATAATTTAAGTTCCCATTACCTTGAAATGCTACATGCTTATTACACTAAAAAAAACCTTGAGCGAGAATTAGTTTTCACAAAAATAAGTGGATACAGCATCGGAACAAGTTATATGAGAATTGACCACACATCAGCTCAAAAGACGTTTCAAATGATATGTAGTCCAGGAAACAAAGTTTGTAGAAGGAAAACTCGATGGTAGTCGGGTTTTATTTTTTTTATGTAGTCAGGGGTGCTGATAATTAATCAAGAATATTCCCCAAACATTTCTTTCCGCGTCCCCTAATTTCATCCCCCGAAAGGGTTTTTTTTTTGCTTTTTGGCTCATAACTCGCTAACCGTGCATTTTTTTAGAATTTTACTTCTAATACTTTTGATTATGTACTAAATAAGGCACACGTTAAACCCCATTACGCACCTATATGATGTGCCCTTTTGCTATGCGCAGTGTGCAAAGTTGAGCGTTGCTTTCAAAATCACTTTTTATTTTTTTTTATTATAGCCCAATTTTAAAAGTAATCGATCCCAAACCTTACGGTTATCAAACATAACCGAATGGACGAAGGTCAAATTCTTATAAATGCATGGTTAGCGAGTTATGAGCGAAAAAGCAAAAAAACTCCCCTTTCGGGGGATGAAAATAGGGGACGCAGAAAGAAATTTTTGGGGAATATTCTTGATTCATTATCAGCACCCCTGACTCTACATAAAAAAATAAAACCCGACTACCATCCACTTTTCCTTCTACAATCTTTGTTTCCTGGACTAATGTCACATAAACAACTTTGTATTTTAAAACATGTGACCTTTTGAAAGTTCGGCGCCATTTGTTTATTTTTTTAATTCATCCATGTTAAAAAGTTTAACCTAAGGTTCAGAATCTGATAAATATTATCAATTCACGTACGGTAGCTCAAACTAGATTCTGGTTTGCAGAAACGCGCATTCTTTAATTTTCTGCGGTGTGAGATCCAAAAGTGACTCAGAATTTGAGGTTACGTCATCTGTCAAATTAATCTTTTTTTATATAAATAACTCTTTGATATAAATAACTCTTTGATATAAATAACTTTTTCCAGAACTTTATGGAAAGTTTTAAAATTGAATAAGATACCAACTTTGTCAAAAAATAAAACAAACCTTTGAATAAAAAGGGTTTTTATTCAAAGAAAAAAACAAACGCGATAATTGTCATTGTAGTCAAGCTAATAAAAAAGTTAGTTTGGGCTACTATACATGAATTAACTGTAAGTACCTAAAGTTCTTTTTTTTATCTGGACTGCGGCAACGTTGCAAATTTAGGGGTTTGGTTGGTAAATACAGTTGTCAAGTTGGTCGCATTGATTAAAACAAACTAAGCTAGTTATAAATCTAATTGTGGTTATGTATAAATTATTGTAGGTTACATTGTGCAGTTGTCAAGTTGAGTTGTCGAAATTCGTAGTTAAAAATGCAATTAATTTGGCTTTGGTGGTGCTTGGATGAGTAAAATCATATAAACAAGTAGTTAAATATAGGTTGCTTTACGGCCCAGAAGAGAAAGTATTCCTAGCGGATAATAATCTTCGCTTTGAAAAGAATTTATATAAAAGAAATTAAAATTTTTTCCATTGTGGCATTTGTCATAATTTCATCAAAATGAAGTTTTGCCCTCAAAACGGCTTTTACATTCGAATTCGTTGCTATTATTTTTGGCATAAGTAATTATCTTTTTATTTATAATTGACAAGTAAATTATCAATGATAAATATCAATTTGACAGTGTCAAAGTATTTAATTAAATTCTTTAGCAGAAGTACCAAACTGGCATAAGCCACCAACCTAACAAAAAAGTCCAGATAAAAAAATAATGAACTGTAGTTGCTTGCAAAAACCTTTTCAGTTATGTGTCACATTTTTGTAATGGGTAGTAGAACCCATTAAAAAATGTGACCTTTTAATAGTCATTTTGGACTAGGATTTTAAAATTTCCGGAAAAATTGAGCCGGCGGAAAAAAACGTTTTTTTTCTGAATAAAACGTCAAAATTAGAAAATTTTCAAAAAAATTGAGTTTAGCATTTTAAAAAATGTGACCTTTTAATAGTCATTTTAATAGGCATTTTTAAAAAATGTGACCTTTTAATAGTCATTTTGGACTAGGATTTTAAAATTTCCGGAAAAATTGAGCCGGATGAAAAAAACGTTTTTTTTTCTGAATAAAACGTCAAAATTGGAAAATTTTCAAAAAAATTGAGTTTAGCATTTTATTCAAAAGGTAATACGAAAAAATGCAAAAGTCAATTATTCTGAAAATGTCCAAATTTTTACTGATACTATCTGTACACTGATATCGAGAAAAAAATTAATATTATGATTATAATAATTATTTAGTAAGAATATATATATATATATATATATAATAATTATTTAGTAAGAACATATTTGTTGCTGTATTAACATAACTTTCGTTTTATTTGACACTTCGATTTATAAAATTATAATTTTGTAATCTAACTTTATAAATCATTCATTATTTTGTAATTGGATATTTTCAATGGACTCCTTTTTGCATAAAAGACCCAACCAACAGTATATTTAACGTTTACGTTTATTTTCTTAAATCAATTTAAATTAATTCAAAGTTTAGTTTTATTTTTTTTGTAAGGATTTTTTTTATATTAAAATAATGTTAAGTTCTTGATTGCCACTTTTTCAAAAAAAAAAACAATTTTTACAAAAAAAAAAACAATTTTTCTAAGGCCTGGGGAAAAACAGTTTTTTTCACAATGTTTTCGGATTTTTTTCGACACTTTAAACCTCTAACGCAAACGTCAGTACAAAATGGAAATCAGCGCCTCTAGTGAAAAACAAAACGTAATTTGTGCGACATGGTAGGCAGATTCTGATAATTTTCCCATTTGAATTCAAACTCATTGTGTAGTCTCACTGATACAGTGCATGGAGCCTACACAAGGAGTCCAGACTTCGTGTATACAAAAATCTTCCTAAGATAAGAGGGCGCTGGTCTTCCGTTGATTGTTTGATTTGAACCGAAACGCTACAAAAACAGCAGACGTCAGTACGCATCGACAATCAGCGCCGCTGGTGGTCTAAAAACAAAGTTCGGATTCCTTGTGTAGGCTCCATGATCCAGCGGTTCAAAAATAAAATGGGGGATTTAACGCGCTCATTGTACAAAGATTTTATGAAATTAGGTATAAGAAAGGATATACTTACAGTTTGTAGTGCTTCTGACATAGAATGGAAGGAGTCAATTGTGTTTGGGTCTGATGTAGGTTCCTGTTTGATTTGTGGGGAGGACACTCTCATATCCTCTGGCCCTAAATTGTCCCTATCGACCGGCGATATGGGATTTAACCTGGGCACAGTAGCTCCCTTGTAATTGCCTTGAGGATTCTAGGATAAGCAATTTCGTTTTATAATACATCCCACAAAAATACTATAATCCATAGCCAAGTTACTTCAGGTCATCATATCTCAACAAAATTGCCTTATACTTTTATGTAGCATATAAGCCTAAAGGAACTGGGCTTACATCAAGTCTCTGTATATATATTTTTTGTTTTATGTGTTGGACGAGAAAATATCAAATAAAATTGCCTTTAAATTTCTTGCAAGGAATCTCCTCTTTCTCCCACTAGTCGCACAATATACTATTATTTGACGTTTAACAATTTGGCATAAAGTGTTAAATTTTTCCGCTATACGTGCTGCTAGTCTCGGGGTAGTAAGATCCACCCCTTTGCTTTGCAAATATTTCTTAAAAAATGTTTTCATATCGATATCGATTATTTTCGTAAACTACACGATAAAGTTTTACAGTGCCCCTTAATTTTCACAAAAAAAAATTTGATTATTATTATTATATATATACACAGTGTGCTGTTTTAAATATGTTTAAATTAAGCCTAAAGAATATAATTATAATAGTATATTATTTTTTAAATTTAATAAACGCCATTTTACCACGGGCGAGCTTGAGAGCGAGTGCTTAATTAAATGAGCAACAAATACTTAATATTATCTAAAAAGTGATTTAAATGAAATATTTGTATAAAGCGACGTCTATACAAAAATAAAGTGACCATCCCAATAAACATTTTTGACGGAATTTTTACCATTAAAATTGGCCGTTATTATTTTAATTAAACTCAACAATCATTAATACTTTAAAATAATAAAATAACTTTTTAACGCTTTATCAGTTAAGCGTCCATATAATCTTTTTAAATATTGGCGTCAAGAAACTAGGCACTTTATTTTAACGATAATATGACATTTGACTGTCAACTAACCTAAAGCCCGTGACTAAAAACCTGTTGCTAACTTCAGCCCATGACTAAAGCGCCATGTCAATGTGTATTTAAAAGGTCACTTAGTGTCATGGCAACATGTTATCAAGTTTGATGAACGCCATTTTATACACGAATTTAATTTAGGCACGAGCGAGTGCTTAAATTAATGAGTATATAGAAAGTTTATAAACGAGGTGCATACTATACTTTTTCTACAACAAATAATTATTATTATTTTAAAATGATTTAAATCAAAAATTTGTATAGAGCGCTATCTATGAAACAATAGGGGAATCTGTGTGTCACCGTGAAATGTCATATTTTTATAGTTTATAAACACAATTATAAAGGTTATAATTCGAAATGTATTTCTTGAAAATTGACAGTTTTTCACAGTGAAAATAAAGAAAATGTTTTATGAGCACTTTACAGTGGAGTCCGTGCCCGAATTTAAGTTATAGTTTACTGCCGGCGAAATTAAAAGGTTCATATAAACTTTTCAAATATTGGCGTTGAGAAACTATTTAATACTTTTGTATTTTTGTGTTGAGGTAATAAAATTTTCACATTTAGTATTATTTTACAAGAAAGACAATTTATTTTAACAATTGTATGACAACTGTCAACTAACTTAAAACTAACTTCAGCCCATGACTAAAAACCTGTTGCTTACTTCAGCCCATGACTAAAGCGCCTTAAAGCCACTTATCACTTATGTCACTTAGGTCATTTAGTGTCATGGCAACGATAATGGGCGTTTTAAAGGTGGTAGTAGAAAAAGTTATTTAACCTTATATTAAAATTTAACTCATTTAGACTCAATGTTGCCAGATTTTCAAAGCGCTTTCCCCCCATATGATCCAGATGAAGCTTGATTTCCCCCTAATTATTGGACTTCATTTCAGTTTTTTACAGTGTAACATTTTCTCTACCACATTTTTTTTTTTCATTTGGGTTGATAAAAATAATAAAAATGATGTTTGTTGTTTATTACTTAATATTGACATAGTCTCTGTGATATTGTCAACAAATAGCCCTATAGGGATTTTTAGAAGGATATAAAAGTTCTTATAAGAACTTTTGTATCCCTCTTAAAATCTCCATAAGAACTTCAACCCCTAAAACCCCCAGGACGTTTAAAAAACCCTAAATTTTGAGGGGAAAACCCCTGCTCTGGCAACACTGTTTAGAATAATAGTGACATCTGTTGAGAGAAGTTCTAAATGACAAATAATTTATAGGCAGTATTAAAAATTAATAATAAAATAATGTACCCACAGGGGAGAATGTGCCCATTCATATTGTCAAAAAGTGTTAATTGGCAATTCCATGATTATTAACGGGACCAACAGAAAGAGAACAAAATTTTTAAAGATTTGTTGTTTCTATAATAATAATTTTATGATAGTTCTCAGAAATAAAATTAAGTAATAATAACAAGCATAAAATTATTGTTACAGGAACAACATATCTTCAAAAAATATTCATAAAACATTTTGTCTTGTTTTTTTTTGTCCTGTTAGTAATCATGGAATTGCCCTAATGTAAATCTATTTAATTTATTTAAAAAAGATCTATTTTAAAGGGGCAAATTAAGAATGAAAATTATTGGCCATTACTTGTCCATAAAAGCTTTTTTTGTGCTCACAAAGCAATGAAAACATTTAAGGATGTTTTCTTTTTCATCTTCTGGACTTTTCCAACACAAAATACTTCAAATAATGTACAGGGACTCTAGGCTAACAGTAATTTAATTAAAGTAATGATATAAAAATAAATATACACACCATAGGGTCATTATATCTGTCTGAGATTGAGTTATCACAGTTAGAGGAGGATTTCCGTTTTCTTTTTTCACTAGGGGGAGAATCTTGTTCCTTATCCATTAAATCATCGTTTCTTGTCAGAGAGTTGCTATCCGTGAGCCCCCTGATTTGCAGGGCCTCAGCAGTTTTTAGGAACATGGGCAGCAGTTTCTGCGAAACATTCACCTCGCCCTTATACATAAAATCTAGCAGTGCTTTCATTTCGTTGTAATTGACATCTTTGAGAAACACAATTGGATGTGGGTGTGAATTTTGAACAAATATCGTTTCAAAGTACGGACTACATGCAGACAAAATGTTTTGGTGAGCTTTGAATGTTTCTCCATCACATGCTAAAGTCACATCGCACAATGCTCCTCTTTGTAATAAACTACTTAGTACGTCTGTAAGATTTGTTGGATGGTTGTTCCATCGTAGACAGAATTGTTGATCCATTTTTTAATAAATAACCTGTTAAATAAACACTTATTAGGTATCAAATTGCCCACAATTTATGGTAATAGGACAATATTATGAAGCATTTAAACTTTAGGTTAGATATTTAACAGTTTCAAAAAGGTTTTTTTAAGCCTATCCAGTCATTTTTCAATACAAATATTAGAGTGTTGCGGTAATATAAAATTTATGCATTATAGGTTACTATTAAATTTTAGCCATTACCCCTTCAAACTAATGTTTATATTAATTCTATAAACTCACCTAAGCATTGGATTACAAGAAGCAGTGATTAAATAAAAGAAATATCAAATAACTGAAATAATAGGAACTTATGTTACTAGTACTGCTATTAAATTTAAAGTTATTTGACCTAAAACTGTATTCAAGTAGAAAATAAACAGTTAACTCCTCTTGAGTACAATTACTAAGAAGAATGCATTTTAGGAATTCTACTTTTAAGCATGTAATCCCCAAAATTGGTAATTCGAATTAGACTAAAGGAATGTACCTAAATAGTAAGTGGACTTACATGCCCTTTAATAGTAAAAACATCTAAATTCGGACTAAATTGTATTGAAAAGCAAAACATAGTGCTAAATATAAATAATAATAATATATCTCACACGAGTAAATATCAAAACACACTCACAATTATAAATATAAAGAAAAAATATCAAGTTTTATTTATAAACCACGTCCATCACGTTTTACCGCCATTGTGATTTTTAGGAGTAATGATTTCTTCTTAAATTATTCCCCAATTATAATTAACCCGGCGATAAATTGATGTTGACACGTTAATTGTGCTAATCAAATTGATTAGGAGGGAGATTTCAGCAATTTACAAAATAATATTAGCAAAAAACCATAAATCTTACCTTTTGCCCAGTTTCTGTCATTACAACGCCACCCAAATTTCTCTCACTACTGCCATGCAATCTTCAATACTGTTATGTTTGTTTTTATATCTATTATTCAGAAATTTATATTTTTTTAACTGAAAAAACGTAAAAAAGCATCACCAAAACCGATTATAGAGAGCATTTTTTGGCAACTGTATTGATTTTAATCTTTTTTGTGTTGTTTTAACGAAGAATTCCGTAAATAAAGAAACGAATTTATAGTCACGCAACGGAATGCTCCGACGCAATGCTGGTTGCATAAATCTGGCGTGAGAGCCTTCTACACACATGCCCTATAAATTGCAATTTATAAGGCATAAAAGTATTAAATTTGAAATATTTATTTTAACGTTTTTGTATATATTTATTTTTGCAATTGGACGAGACTGTTTAATTATTTTTAAAAAATATAAAAATGTATGCCATGGGGCGTAAAAAAAACACAAAATTGCAGTTCCTATAATAAAAAATCATACCTACTTATAATAAAAGTAAAAAACAAATTATCATTGTAATAAAAAGTAGACCAAATGTTGTTTTAAAAGTTTTATTAATAAAAACTACAATGGAACCTATAGTTTTTTGCACTTATTTTATTAAAATAGGCTTCAATAATCTTCTGTAGACTTCTTTCTTGTTTCTTCGGTCTTCATATAAGCAAATAACATGCATTTTTTATATTTTTAAGAAACATAATTTTGATAATCAAAAAGTTATCATTTAGGACAATACGTAAAAAAAATGAGGGCATTGAAAAGTTTGACATGCATCATGCAATTAATTAACTCTTGAGCGCAAATCAGCTGCACGTGTGATCCCGAAGTTACCTTCAATTCCGGACTAATCGATCTATTTTACCTTGAACTTGACACCCTCTCTCAGTTATAGACCTGTTGCTTCTTGCTTGAAAATCACCTTTTTTAATGAAAATAATTTTTTTTTAAATTTTAAGTTAATATTGGCACTTTTTTTTAATAGTTTAAAATGCGCTATATTTTATGTGAAATTTTAATTGTTACACCAACAATTTTATTTATTTAAACTCGAGTTTATTTAATACAACACCGGCTTGCAGTCGGATGAGTGGTCGAAGATTGGATGGAGCATTCGAGTACTCAATCAGAACGAAACTAATCTAATTATTTTGCAAGTTAGATTGTGTCATCCCCCTGACGGTTTAGAGCATGTGCAATGACGTGACTATCGCACCTACCGCGGTGCAATATTGCACTCCCCCCACCGCGGACCGGTGTGCATTTAATTTAATAGTTCATCCCTCTCCAGCGATAACAGGTAGGTGTGCGGTCTGACCCCCTCTCATTTTTGTTCGACAAAAAGGGGTATTTCAGCGATGGGAGTTTTTCTCCTAGTTATACGTTTTTTTTTGGAGCAACCTGCATATGCAATATTTTCATAAGTTGTGAAAATGGAAATAATTTGCAGAAAGTTAAGTTTAAAACAAAAAATTAAGAAGGGAGTAAGTAGGTAGGTAATTTTATTATATAGCTATAGCTTAAGCTATATCTGGTAGCGGACTAATTATAATTAGGGGGGGACTATAGTCCCCCCCTTAACGAACGGGGTCAACGGTGTAAGAGAGCCCCCAAATCTCGAAAAGTTTAACAAAAATAACGCTGAAATTTTTTGTTAAGGAATAAGGAATAATAATCTGGAGTTGCGGGCATGTAAAATAAGCCTATACCTACGCTTAGGGGCCCGGGCCCCCATAAATGATGTCACACACAGGGGGGAGGGGGGTTTTGTCGGAAATGTAACAGTTTGTGACAGCAGGAGGGTTAGCAGGTTGTGATGTCACAAAATTAAAAAAAATATATATTTTTATATTAATAAAATGCAAATATTTAAAAGTTAATTGCATGATATTTATTGCAGATATTTTTATGTGAAATGTTAAAAAATTAAATTCATTAATAATATTAATTTTTCATTGTCCATTTTTAAAAAGGTATTTACCCAGTAAGCACCAAACACAGCAAACAGTCGGCCTTCGCTCGGCATAGGCGGTTGACCGGCGGTTCGGCTTGCCCCAGCCGGCCCGCTTACGGCCCACGTTATGTTACCCCGGTACCGTTTAGCCATGTTTTAACCGAAGTCGGCCAGAATACGGCATGCCGCTGCAAAATCGTTCGGCTTGTCCTAGCCGGCCCGCTTACGGCTGGAATAAGGCCTGCCGCGGCATAAGCGATACATATGTCACGGCTGCTTACGCACGCGAGCTAACTATAAATAGCGATTGGTTGCAATATTTAGTTGGAAGTGTGCGTCCGTAATGGCATAGCTGAACATTAATTGTTTGGAGTCCCCATCTCCATCCTCATCTGCTCAGTAACGAATAATAGTCGTTTTTTCGCGTAAATACCATGAAATACTATGGTTATTAAACTTAACCTTCGTATTCGGGCCGTATGCGGGCCGGCTAGCTTGTGCTTACTGGGTTATAGTGTATATATACACTATATACCTATCTCTATCTATCATCTTTATATATCTATACATCTCAATACAGAAATGCAAAAGTATTAATTAGTTTAAACTACAGGGTGTTACGTAAATTTAATTTACAGTCCGTTCAGGCTAAGTTGAGCGCTTTGGTGGGAGATCATGTGGCCGTTGATTAAATTAAATATCGAATCGTCGCGAGATTTCGGTAACAAGAAGATGATTTATCAGTGCAGCGGCTTGCCGTTTGTTAGTACAGAGCGGCTACCGAAGTACATGTATTTAATTTTGCCTGAACATATATGTTCATATATGTATATCTATAGAGATGATGGACGGTGTGACATTCCTTAGACCGCTCAACTTAGCCTGAACGGACAGTACATAACACCCTACATAATGTAATTAATGTTATATATTAAAATAAGTAAAAGTATACTGAATACCTTTTGACACAAGGAATAAAGGAAAAATATTTTAAAAAGCATTTTTCCAAAGATAAAGAAAAAATATGCATTAGAAGTAGTGATGCAACGGTTACGGTTACGGTTAATTCACGGTTTTCGATATTATACGGTTACTCGTAACCGTATACGTCATTTATAAAACCGTATACGGTTTTTCATGCTACTTTGTGAATGCATGTAAAAAGAAGATTGAATAGTATTTAGCGATACCAAACAGGAACAGGCTGATTCCGCAGAATTTGCAGATGTTGATTTTTAAATACTGCCTTAAATTTTGAATATTAACTTTTTTATTTTTTAAAATATATTATTCAGGTACCTAAGTACTTAGGTTTTACTTTACTGTTTTTAGGTTTAAAATGTTACTTATTTCCTTTTGTTAGAAATTCTGTTTTTGTTTTACATAAATTATTATTTAACCTTTACTGAACGTGTATATTAATTTCATTTTAAAAAATAAACTTTATTCTTTGTAATTCTGTAATTTTTTTTTGGAATAACCGTGAATGTATTCGTAACCGTAGAGCTAACCGTAACCGTAACCGTAAAAACCGGAACCATTGCATCACTAATTAGAAGTTTTGTATATTTTTTGTGATACGCCACTGGTTACACACTTGTTTATCTCTGCACACCTGTATTTTGTGAGTACATAGATACCAACCAACAAAGTAGCTATGCGTTGCCAGATGTAAAAAATTGTTACTAAAAATTTTTCTTGCAAAAAATAAACAAAAACTCAATAAATACAAAAGTTTTATGCCCTTAAAGCTCTAATACCCTTCTGTATTTATTTACTGATCCAGCTATTAGCTTAAGCAATGATGAAGAAAATTTAGTACCTTTGAAATTTGAAATCCATAACCACAAAATTAATTTTTTCATCAGTTTTTTTCTCTGTTTACTTAGATGAAATTGGGACCAGTTCACAGGTTAAACTTTAAACATTTAATTTGTGTAAATAAATCCAAAAGCACTTCCCTTAGTTAAGATATTTACAATTTGAAAACATAACCTAAAATTTAAAAGAAATGCACTAGATTCTGTCATAAAAGTTGGCAGATTTTGTTTGAATTTACCTTCAGTACAAAAATGAAATAACCAACAATTAATAAAATCGCCAAATTGACAATTTGCATTGTTAATTTTGTTATTTTTGTAATTAAGCTAAATTTAAACAATGTTTGTCAACTTTTTTAAGAGATTTTGGAAAAACTGTTGTTACCAACCATAACATAATAAATCCACCAGGTTAACCTAAAGTTCCTAGTCGATCAGTGGCGTACTTTTTGGTAGGATAAAGGTTATTATAAATTATTTTTAGACTTTAGAATTTAGAAAAAAAAAGTTTCAGGTACTTCTTTATGGACTCTAAGGAACAACCTATTTTAATATATAACATTAATTACATAACACCCTGTATAGTTTCTCAACGCCAATATTTGAAAAGTTTATATGAACATTGTTCATTGAAAAATGTTCACAATATTGTACTAAACTTTTAATTTCGTCTGCACTAAACTAGATTTAAATTTATAAATTTTAGTTGGAGTCTCAACCGTGGAGTGCCAATAAAACATTTTCTTCACTTTCACTGTGAAAAACTCCTTCCACTGTGGAAGTTCCACATCTACAAACACAGAACATAAGTCTACAAATTTGACATTTTACCGGCGCGCCGGTAATACAGATTCCCAAGAATGGTTACTATTTTGCTTTATAGATGTCGCTCTAAACAAATATTTAATTTATAAATCATTTTTAAAAAATAATTTGACTTTTCTAGACACTCATTTAATTAAACACTCGTTTGCAAGCTCGCTCGTGCCTAATTAAAATTCGTGGCGTTTATCAAATTTGATACATAATGTACTATTAAAATATAGTCATTTAAATTGAACCTTTTTTGGGTAAAGATCGCACAATTTGGCACCACCGCGTGTATCCATGTTAGTTTCTCGCTTCTGTAGTTTCTTGTCATGTTTGGTTATCAATTTTTAAGCCGGTTTTTGAAATAATCAAGTTAATTGTAAAATTTCTTTGAGGTGGTTATCAACGTATAAAAATATATAATTCGCTCGTAACAACGCAGTGAAAATGTGGGGACAATGCCCGCAGGCTGGCTATTCGAATTATTCCCAGCCTTTTGCACCTAACAACAGAAATCAAAACAATCACCCCCAGCACCCACGTGCGCAACAAACATATTACCATAGACAACAGGATCAAAAGATCTACCAGTACCCACGTGCGCAACAAACATATTACCATAAAGAGGATCAAAAGATATACAACTGTCCGGGGTGTCTTCAACATTTTGAATGCCTTTGTAAGTTTTTTGTTTACACCTAAAAAAGTATTCTTCCAAAACAACCTGTTTCAGTTCAAAACAACCAATTTCTTGGAAGAGTCCCTTTAATCCTAAAATGTCAACACACTTTGTGCCAAGACTGCATTTACAAGCAGTGTCACACCACCCAAATTGTGTGTCACACCTGCAAAAAAGAGTCCAGTGTTGGACGAAGGCATCTCAATAACTTGCAGGAAGTGTTCCCTCCAAATTTTTATCTTATTGGATTTATGATGTGGTTTAGAACCCAAAATAACCAGGCTAGATCCATGAATTTGGTCCCAACACAGGTGACACTGAAAAGTAAACAAACAAACACTGCAACACTGCAAAATGATGTCAATCAAAGCACAGGTTCGTAGAGATGTAGTCTACATCATGTAAATTTTAGTTTTATCTTTTAAATTTATATTGGATATTGTATTTTATTCTTTATTAGAAAGTGTCAACAGTCTTGATGCATAGGAATTTAGGTAATTCACACAAAATTTTTCATAACACCTGTTTAATTAAAAATTTATATAAAAATGGTATTAATATTCTTATTTTTAGTTCAATATAAGTTTTGCAAGGCTTTTTAATTGGCATTACAAGGTAGAAAAATGTATACTACATTTGTACAAATTGTTTCATTGTTAACTGTCATAAAAAGATAAATTTACTACAAAACAACTAAAATAATTTACCTATACAGGGCCCTGTATATGCACTGGTGCACCAAGTATCATTCTATGTATATCTTTCCGAGTATCTTTTTAATTTGAAGAGCTAAAAGGTCGGTTAAATTAGACAAAAGTTGTGTAAATACAGGTCTATTAAAATGGTATTTAAAAATTGGTTAAAAAATTTGTGCCTATGCCCTATGTGCCTATGGCAGGGTTTTGAAAATTTTATTGCTGTAACGTCCTTGCTGTTAGTGTGTTTTGTGAGTACCAAGTATCTTATGTATTTTATATGGTTATGTTGGCCTTTAGCATAAAGGCACTGCCTTTTAAGTTGATACAAGGTTTGTTTTTAACTTCTTAAGTGTTTAATGTGTCAATTAAAAAGCACCACCTTCAAGAATCCCACAACAAATGAAACCAGGGCATTTTATGATTTATTAATTTTAACAATGGGTTTGATCTCATGAATGTCAAAGTACCAATTGGTGAAATATGTGAAAGATGATATAAGTATTTTCTTGCTCCAGGATGTATTTTCAAATAAAATCTTTAAATAAGGAATGACAAAAATATTTTTTTTCTAGGAAAAACTATTATTAATTGAATAGCTTATTATAATAATAATTGCTTATAATAAATTTATTTATTAGGGGCCATCCATTAATTACGTGAGGTGTTTAAGGGGGGGAGGGGGTCGAGCCAAACCTGATCCAATCTCACGTGGGGGGAGGGTGCTCACGGCAAATATCACGTAATTTTTTCTTTTCGAATGAAACAGTGTAAAATTGCGAGAAAACTGGGTTAAATTAAGTAAACAATTATAAGCAAATTGTTTTTTTTAATAAATATAATGGAATCAATCACAGATTAACTTATTTACATTAAAACCATGCAATTTTAGCGATTTTTCGACTCCCCCCTCCCCTAGGTGAGATGTCGTGAGATTTTGCTCAACCCCCTCCCCCCTACATTAATCTTGCGTGAGATTTTTTAAAATATTTAAAAAAATCTCACGTAAGATTAATGTAGGGGGGAGGGGGTCGAGCAAAATCTCACGACATCTCACCTAGGGGAGGGGGGAGTCGAAAAATCGCCAAAATTGCCTCACGTAATTAATGGATGACCCCTTATAAGCAAAAATATTCTGTAACTCAAAATGTAAACAAATTGGCCTAGTCTCTGCCCAGATATTCAATTAAAATATTTCAGTAAAACCCCATGGTGTTTTTATTCTGAAATTCTTAAATTATAATACAGTGTGCCAAGGAAAAAATATAAAAAGCTATAATTAAAAATTCAGTTTTTTTGGATTATTTACCATTGTGTTCACAAGTAAACTTTCTTTGGGTTGGGGAGTAAATTTTACATGTAAATATGCCTTCTAGATTTGTAGATACCACCACCATCTTTTGTTTTGCCTATGGCCGCCATATTGGAATTTTACATGGTTACATGGAAAAAAAATCATGAGCTTATGATATCCAAAGTTATGGCGGCCATTATTAAAACAAAAGATGGTGTTGGTAACTCAAAACGTAGCAGCAAAAAAATTGGATGAATATCTAGCATAAAGTGTATGTTTAGTAAACATTGTTTACATTTAAAACTTACTTGGTTTTAAAATTCCCAGGAATAATATTAACGATTTTTTCTTATAAAAGGTTTTTAGTTTTTTTATATTTTGAGAACCGCTGGCTTTTTTCTCCCAATTTATAAATTTCATCTTAATAGGTTTGTAATTACGCAATTTTTTTCTAATTTAACAGATCTTCCAGTTCTCAAATAAAAAAATACCCACAGAAGGATACTTGGTGCAACTTCTACCTATACAAACTTGAATAAAAAAACACATTTTTTTTACTTAATTTATAATAAAATATTTATTTTGTTCCCACCATAATAAGGTACATAAAAACCCCAAAGGGTGATAAGGTAATATTAATAATAGAAATAATACAACACAATTTTCTTCTGACGAGTTACTAAGCATTTAAGTTAAACAAACTATATAACAAGTTAAACAAACTATATAACAAAAATGAGATTGACCCTTTGCCAGAAGTATTTTATGACAGTTTTTGTAAATAAATTTTTTTAATCATTTTAACAAGTAATTTCACTCTTTCCTAGTCAGAGTAAGGCGTCAGTGACTGACCGTTAGTCCCCATTTTCTGAACCCAGACATAATAAAAAATTAAAACTCTTACATTTTCTACTTAACAAGTAAATGGAAAAACTAAATAGTCAAGGAACGTCAGGCAATTTTTCCAGAGTCAGGAAATTTAATTTAAAACCGAATTTTTTTCCACCACATAATTTTTTTTTCGTGAATCTATTTAAGAGGTCTGGCTATAACAATGCGTAATTTCCCAAATTATATCTGGGACCCTAAATTCTTTTTTTTTTTAATATAAGAAAATGAAAAAAATAAATTAATTTGTAACCCCTCAAATTTAATTAAAAAGAAGTGGCCACTCTCAGGGCTCTCAAATGTCCTAAATGTCCTATAAAATTGGTCTTGTCCTTAAATGTCCTAAAATTTGGCATTTTTTGTTTTGTTAATATTTAAAATTGCCCCCTAAACTACCTGTCATGATAAAAACAGCAAAACATCAGTTTGTGATTTGGGTTGCCTACTCTATGGTTATGTGATCAAAATTAGCGAATTGGATGATCAAATTGACTCCTATCAAAACAAAATTTGGCTCTGTGATGGAATTAAAGCTTTAAAAAAGAAAAAAAACGACGTATTAAATCCAAAACACTAATGCATAACTACCCTATAAGACCTGAAAATATTTTAGTTTTCCTTTATAAATATTGAATAATTTTTTTTTTTCTTTAGTATGTATACCTTAGGATAAAAAGTAGATATTTTTATGTTGTTTTTGTTATCCAATGAATAATTTATTTTTATCAAATAAAACGTTTGCAAGTTTTTAAATTTAAATTTGTGCACTCTTTAAATAAATCTGCAGGTGTTCTTTTTTAAACATTTTAAGATATTCAAGCTAAAAATTGAGAACAACACTGGACCTAGTACGCTTCCCTGTAGAACTCCACTTTTAACTTCTAAATCTATGGAAATAATATTGTTTATTTTCACTTGTTGCTTTCTGAAAGAAAAATAGTGGGAAAACCATATTAAGGCAGCGTTATCCATTTCAATATATTTAAGCTTGGATATCATAAGCTCATGATTTACCAAATCTAGTAAAGCTAAAACTACAAATTCACCATTATCCACAATTTTACTTAAATATGAGACAACTTTTAATAACGCAGTATTTGTGCTATGGTTTTTGCGATACCCAGACTGTATATATACAGTTTTACCTACTATACTAGGTAAAATTGTATGTTGTTCTAAATAAGTTTTTAACTGTAAACAAGCTATTTTCTCAATTACTTTAGATAAACAAGGTAATCAGTGGCGTAGCTAGCCTTGAGGCGGCCTCGTGTCAAAAATCTGGTAGGTGCCCGTATACGGAAAAAGCTGCTTGCAAAAAAAATTTTGGGTGTCACACCCAAAATCATTTTTTTGCATAAATGGTAAATTTACCAATTTTTTATAATTTTATAAATATTATAAGTAGGTACCTATACATAGCTTTTTATGTACAGGCATATTTTAAAATTTGGTCTGGTTTTAGACATTTACAGTTCTTCAACATCTTTTAAAAGGGTTCCATTTTAAAATAAATGCAAGTCATTTGAAATAATTGTAACGCTAATAATTATTTCTAATTTCCTATTAATATAACCTATGATAATAACACGCAAAGCAGACTTGGTATGCGGCGCAGAGCACAGAACAATATGCGCAGACTGCGCCGCAGACAACGCATAGCGGAAAGGTGCGGGCAGAAACAATTCGTATGAGTTCAGGGCCTCGTTGGAACAGGAGGATATTCAGGAAATGTTTAATTTAATAAATCGAAGTATAAACAATTAAATATTATTATTGTTTATTTATTTAATTTCATGCTTCAATTTTTTTAACATGTGGGTAATATGTTTTTTGCTTACGCATGTCGAAGTCATGCCCCTAGCCGGGGGGCCCGTATCATTGATACGGCTGATACCGCGGTAGCTACGCCCCTGAAGGTAATATGCTAATAGGTTTTAAAATTTTTGGAATCGCTAAAACCAAAGCAGTTTTGCACTGATGGGGAAAAACACCATATTTAAAGGAAAAGTTAATTATGTGTCTTAAAAAGTCTATGTAATATGACGGTATTAATGTGAGCATTTTTATTTTAATGTTATTCACTCCAAAGGCATTAGATTTAATGGTTTTAACTATTTTAAAAATAAGGTCATTATCCACTTTATAAAAACTAAATGATATGCCGCCACAAAACTTATTATTTCTATAAAAATTTAAAGTATTTTCATTAATGGTGGTAACACCAGCAACCTCAGTATAGTATTTGTTAAGTAAATCAGGACATTAAAGACTATCAGTTATTTTATGTTGAACTTTATTTGTTACTCCAATATTATTTAATTGTTTCCAAACCTTACCACTATCATTTTTATTTTTCCTTACAATAAGTTCAAAATAAGCTTGTTTCCCTTCTTATTGCTAAATTAACATAATTTCGTATTTCAATATAGAATAATTTGTGTAAAAGTATTTTGGTTTTTTGATATCTTTTAAGAGCTTTGTTTTTAGTTTTTATCATTTGCCTAATATTGTAATTAAGGATTTCTTATTAGATCTTACAGTGATAAGTGAAGCGTGTTTATTGAAAAGGGTCATAATATTAGGATAAAAAAATTGTATTTTTTATCTATACTATTTTCGGTCTTAATAGCATTCCAATTTGCTCTTACTGCATCAATAGCAAGATCATTTATTTTAATATTAGAGAAATCCCTGATGAAGAGTAGGTAGTTACTTTTTTGGTTGGTTTTTCTTCCACAATTTTAACAAACACACTCAAATCGTCAGTGATATTAAACATATCCAAAGATTAACATTTTTTATACACGATTCCCTTACTTACACAAATTATATCTATTTAAGTCTCAGTGTTACTCGTGATTCTAGTTGTTGGAAAGTTAACTGTTTGAACTAGATTAAAATGTGCAAATTTGGTTTCAGTCACCTGTCAACACCAAAATTATTTATAAAAGCAAATATTGGAAAAAAATGTTTTCTCAATATTTATATTATTCCATTTAAATATTTTTTTAAAATATTTTAAGTAAAGTAAAAATATTTGGTATTATGTAAATTTTATATTTTACTTTTGTTGTCACTTTTTCCTAAAAACAATGGTTCGAAATTGTTCGCGCTTAACTAACTAACTAACTAACTAAAAGAAATAAACAAACAATAAAAGAAAAGTTATGCAAGGCATATTTTTTTAAATTTTTGCAATATGAATCACCCTGTATAAAAAATAATAGTTTAATTCCTGCCAGTTATTTAAAATTAATTTACAAATTTTTTAGATCGTTGCTGCTTCCTAACATGCAGCAAAAATGCGGAATTTTATTGCAATGATTGTAACGACAATTACTGTGGTGGTTGCAATGTGACCATTCATAAGAGTGCCAAATCGATGTGGGTTCACAAAACCACTCTCATTACTGATCAAAAAATTCAGCTAGAGCTGGAAAAATGTACAGTGCATGGCAACATAAAAGAATTCTATTGCAACGTCTGTGAACACGATATATGTGTTTATTGTTTCGTTGAAAACCACGAGGGGCATGAGAAAACAAACCTGGCTTTTTTGGTAAGTTCTTTCATCTTGAATTAATAAATAAGATTTATATATTTTTTTAATTGTAGGGCACTGAAGAAAATTTTAAATTGGATGGGATGCGCAAAAAGGCTAAGAAGGTGTTTGCCCAGCTAAGAAAAACACAACAGGTGAGTCCTTGTATTTCTATTATTTTTGACCTTGCAATCAATATGCATCAATTTGTTGTAATTTTTATTATATGATTGTTCCTAAGAATCCAACATATATATTTTTCTAATATTAATAGAATAATTTACAAAAATAAACAAAACAGTGATAACTACTAATATTTTCTAAAAGTTCTTATTTGTTAAGAAATTTCACAATATAAAACTAGTATTGCGGTTAAATCTAAATATAATATTGTATTTTTTAATAAAAAATATACCATATAGGTATGATCTAAATAAATAACTAAAAGGAATTCTAGACACCTAAGCCAACAAAATAGTAATAATAATAATACATAATACATAATGACTAGAAAATAGAGCTTATTTTAATACCATTATTATCTATCAGTTCCTTTGATAAAGAGAATGGCATTTTATGATTTAGTACAGTTAATCTGTAGTCATTTTTTTCATGAATCTTTAAAAAAAAGCTTAAATTTTACACCCACTCCCGCGGTTTAAGGTTAAATAATTATTTATGTCGTTAAACTAAGAAGTGAGTATTTTTGTGCTGAGCTTTTTTAATTTTTTTAACGTAGTTGTTTATCTACAAAGCTGCGTCAAAAAGGGCCACCTAATTTTGCCCTAGAGCATTATCCAAATAACATACATTCTAGGGGAGAATGACCCCTACGTTTTTTGTTGAAAAATTTTAATTACAAACCGTTTTAGAGAAAAAAAATGGGATGCAGCAAAGTTGGGCTTAAGCTTTTCTTATGAACCCCAAACAATTCAAGCAAAAAATGACTATGGTCAATTTTTTCCGAAAACAGCCTTTTTCCCGACAGATTGACTGTACAAATTGTTCTTACTTTAGGTCTTAAGTCAAGACTTGACTTTTTATTTAATTAAAATATTTTCTGACTATTGCATTTGATATTAAAATAATATGTCTATATTTTATTATAATAAAGCGTGACAAACTAAAATAAATTATTTATTTTTATTTTGCCCCCGATTCAACTGATTGTAAAGTATTCTTTTCTTGATTGGAATTTGTTGAAACACTTGTCGTTGTTGTGGCTTCCTCATTTTCTTCTTCGATATTTTGTAATTCTTCTGATTCGTTTTCTGTATCTTCTTCCTGTTGTTTGCCTTTCTTTTCCTTCTTCATTTTGTCCTCCATTTCTTGGAACTTAATCGCCAAATACCTGAAAAAATATTTATTAGTATAATCTATATTTTTTCTTGATAATGTGTGTTTTAGAGAGGAATACTTTTCCTTACTTGTCTACTAGCGGTCCACTGTAATCTTCTGGAAATTTGGGTGTAAGAGGGATGATGTACTTGTAAAGTCTTTCGTTCAAAACGTAAAGTTGAGCTGTCGTCGCACATTTCACGTTGTACCACCAGTCACACGTAAGCGCTACCTGACTGAAGATAGTGCCATTAGGACACAGGAACGAGGCTTGTCCTCCATTAAGGTCACAATAGTGCCAAACCTGAAATAAATGAGTTTTTATAAATAAAAAAAATCTTTTTGTCAAAACCATCAAACAATTGCTTTGTTTCAACTAGATTTAAGAATTAGTCAGAGCTAATTAGATGTCCCAAAAGTAATCAGATCTGATTAATGGTGACTAATTTCTGATTTCGTTTAGAAAAAAATAAATTAAAACCTACCTGGCAATTTGTGTCGGGGTCCCCAAAGAAGCCCTTGTAGCGTTGCGTCTTGCAGTTGAAACTTGTTTGAGGGATGGAAGATAGAGCTGGGTAGTCGACTCCGGCTTTGCCCGGAGTTCCGCCGTCGGGAGTGTCGCCCGGATAACTGGTCGTGATGGATCCGTCGTCGTGTTCTTCCTGGCTGTTCGCGTACTCTTCGTCGGGCACGACGATTGGTTTTGGCGTCACCTTTTGCTGCTTCCTCAAGCTGCCAAGAATCCTCACCAAGGTGTTAATGCTGTTGTCGATGTTCTCCGGCGTGATAGATTTTGGAAGAGTGTTGCTTCGCTGCAGTTCTTTCAGTATTAGAGTGAGGTCGTTTGAGTTTTCTGTGGTTATTTGTGGTGCTTGAGTTATGGGGACGTATTCCTGGTATTTTTGTGGTGGAGGCGGAGGAAATTGTTCGTAATGCATTTGGGGAGGTACTATGTACCCTTCTTCTTCCTGTACAGGCTCGTATTTGGTTACTGGTTCCTGTTCTTGATATTTTTGTGGTTCCTGTTCGTATTTCAGAGGTTCTTTTTGATATTTTTGTGGTTCCTGTTCATATTTCGGAGGTACTTCTTGATATTTCTGCGGTGCCTGTTGATAATATTGGTATTTCTGTGGTGGAGATATCTGCTCATATTTAGGGCTTTGGAGGTATTTTATATAGGGGGCGTACTTTTGACTGGGGTTTTCGTATTGATGAGTCTGTTCAGGTAGTATAACAATTTTGGGTCGGTAGTTGGGTTTTCTGCTTACGTAGATAACCGGCTTGGTGATTGGTTGATTATCTATATTTTCTTCTGGATAAAGATACCCTGGTGGTTGCTCCTTGATTATTTGTGGATTTTGTTGTACGAAAACTAACTGTTCTCCGTCATGATTATAAACATCTTGTTGTTGGACGTAAGGCTTCCTTTGTGGCTGTTGGTATTTCACACGAATCGGAGCTGGGTTGGGTATTTGTTCATATTGTTGTTGATGTTGTTCTTGAGACGTATAATGGTGTTCCGGAGTAGGAATATCGATATTTGTTGCGGTGTAGGTCTCCACCAATGTCTTGGTCGGTTGAATCGGTCGAGGTCTGTAGCCGCTCTCAATAGGAACGACATTAATGTGATGTATCTTCTTGGGACGTTGGATGTACCTTTGAGAGGTGAGTGGCCGGTATTGTTGCACATACGTCGGTCTACGCTGCACTAGCTTGATTTGCGACAGTTTGTCGTATATGGCGCTGTAATCTGGCACTTTGTTTAACTCTTGCGGTAACTGGACGAATTGGACTTCGATTTTAGGCTGACCCGACCCTACCATGGGCCTGAAAGGACCTGGAATCGCATTGTTTTCCGAAAATGGAGTGAACTTGGTTTGCTGATAGAGGGTGTTTTGATCTGGTTCCGTTGGATATTTGTTGTACTGCATGTTGTTATAAGGGTATCTTTGTTCCTCTTTCATCTGTTGTCTAGGGCTTACGTAATAATTCTCGTAGGGCAACAGCCGTTTTTGTCTCTCCGATGGGTTGAGCGTCACGTTGAGCGCCGTTGGTTCGGTCATTTCGAATTTCATGGTTAATTGTACTGCGTCAGGTTTATCATGATTAATCGTTGATACAGCGAAAATTAATGATGGCGAACCTGCAAAACAAAAACATCAAATTAATAAACATTTTATTGTTTTATGTCTTAATTTGTCGATTATTTGTACTGATTCTGGCGTGTAAAGTTCCATTTACTTCTTGGGGCTCCTTTCTAAAATAGACCGCGAAGGACTGCCTTTCAAACTCCGATATTATCCTATCGTTTTTCGTGTAATTTTAGAACCAATTAACATCTAAAGTGACATTTAGTTTATTAGCAATATAATTTGCATTACATAATCATGTAGCAATTATTGATGTACCATAGAAAAGCTTAAACAATACCATAAATTATTTTAAAAACTTTTTTAATGGGCTAAATATTTTGTTGGTATTAAAAATCATTCCAAGGAAAAGAAAGACATAATTTAATAAATAGTGCATAACACATTATTATTAATAGTTTTATTCGTAATTATATTGCTTAACAAATTAGTATCTTACGTTTTAATAATATTAAATCTATATTCATGTATTTTAATTCAATTATTTCATGCATTATTAACACATAAAATGATTCAGTAATTTCTTATCACTTTTATGTGTTGTAATTTGAGTGGATATCGTATTAAATTCGAAAAGTATTTGCAAATTTAACATTGCGTGTTTTTAGGTCCCTTTGGACACACTTTGTTAAATTGTAAATCTGTTAAAATAATTAATTACATTTGCAAAAAATGTTTTAGGAATTGATTTCATAAAAAATGTTACTCCTATAAAAATGTTTGCTATTTAATATCTTTAATTTACCGTAATAAGATAATAATTTAATTGCAAGTCAATGTATGTCACTTACCGTCAAAAATTGTATGCTTATTATACAAATTTGTTTGAAAAAACAGTAATATCAGGTGAAAGTGCTTCGCTATTTACATTTTGGAATATCGAAGTAAGACTAATATATAATTAAAGTGAACTGTATATTTCTAACAATTATATTTTTAGAAGATCAAATTAGAAGGTAACCTTTTAAATAACGGAATTAAAATTGCTTGAATTTAAATGGAATGAAAAATTTTTCATAAATTTGGATAACTATTAGGTGTCAATAAAATCATTAGGAACGTGTTATTAAGTTTTAATTTTGTTTAGCGTTTATTAACGTTGATTTAACAATTTGTTTCTTTATAGCTAGTAACATAATATTTTAGTAAACAAACTGTATTTGTGGTGCGTTTAACGGAATTACAGTTTTTTATCAAATATTTACATGATTCGCATTTTAATAAATTATTCCGAGCACATCGATGCATGATCCCATTTTCTACGTGTGTCAGAACATGTGTGTGGAAACAGTGTTCTAAATAATAAAATACACAGCATCAGGTGGCTTTGGGCTCTTTATAAGGCCTTGTCGTGATTGCAGATAATTATTGAATATTCTAAGTATACTGGCGTATGTGTTTTAATTTGTCGATATTTGAAAATCAATTGATAGAAATTTAAAATAATACACATAATCAGTGGTTGTAAAAAGCTTAAAAAACTATTCCATACCCCCCCAGAACCCCTACAACTTGCCACCCCACTTAAAAACATGAAATTACGCCTATGCACATAAGTATTTGTATTTGTATCTGCTTATAATTACCATTGCAAATTACAATCAAAATAAATGAATATGTATCAATTTTGTAAAATTATTAATGAGTTTATTCAAATATTAAATTGCATTAATTTTATTTAATTAATAACAATTTTTATGTTTATAGTTTTGATCAAAAATTAATTAATTTTTAAATTAATGGATAAAACATGTAATTTTAAAAACAACGTTATATTAATTATAAATTTAATATTATGTATACAGTGTATATTGTGCTCGATAGTCGTACACAATATTTTTTTAACAACTGTCAAGCAGTTTTAACCTCACTTATTTCCAATTTATAATAATTCCCTTGTTTTAAGATTTAGGTTTGTTCGTGTAAATTCTATAGATTCGATCTGTTTTTTATTTTGGTGACATAAATTTACCTATGCACTTGTACGCACATCTGTCGTTTATTTTATGGCGACCAAAAGAAGAATGTTTGAGACACAAAATCGAATTCGATTTGTAGTCCGCAACGTCAATTAATTGGTGCGGTCGACCCGTCAATATAAATGTTCATTGTAAACCGCCGAATCTTAACCGTTAATTGAAACGTTTATTTGCGCCTGCACCTTAAACGATTGTCAAACGCACTCTATCCAGTATCGAACGTGATTTCCTATTGATATAATTTGTTTTACGTATTTTAGAAATTGTCATCCTTTGGTCCAAAAAAATCGACTATTTTTTTTTTGTAAAGTATATCGAAAATATTGTTTGGGGTGGCAAAACAAAATTATGGTGAAAGTTTGAGTCCATAATATTAATATTAAGAGGTCTATCATCGCAATTTTAGATTTTTTTTTCCTGAGCGAGTTTTTATCTCAGAACTCCCAAACCACTGAGTTTAACAAAATTGACATAAGAATATTTTTTGAAGAAAATTGAATGTTCTACAAAAAAGATTTAATTGGAATTTCCCGTCAGATGAACCGTTTTCTTACAATCATGCCTTAAAAATTGGTATAGTTTTACAATTTGATCTTTTAACTTTGGAATTTTGTAATTCATGTAAAAATCAGTAGCCGGAAAAAACCGATAGATATTCTTATGGAAAATCAAATGCTCTACAAAAAGTCTTCCAATATTTTTGGCTAAATTCACTCCAAAAGTTATTCAAGGTTAAATTTGAAGTCAAAACGAAATTCTTGTTTTTTCCGCCCTAGATTTTTTTTGGGTCAGTTAAAAACTTTATTTTTAACCTTTTTTGTACAGCATTTAATTTTCTTAAAAAAATATTTCTGAGTCAATTTTGTTAAACTCAATAGTTTGGGAGTTCTGAGACAAAAACTTGCTGGGGGAAAAAAATTTAAAATTGCGATGATAGACCTCTTAATATTAATATTATGGACTCAAACTTTTACACTAAATGAACAAATTTTGCATTTTTTTGCATTCATTGTTAAATTGTTGTTTCTGCACCAGTCGTTAATATGTTTTAATTCAGCTTGTAGTGTTAATGCAATCTTCGAGGTCATTAATGATCCGATAGACGTTGAGGTCATCAGCAAATAAAATATGTTCAGAGGTTAGTGATTGAGACAGGTTGTTAATGAATATGTTAAATAACATAGGTCCTAAGTTGGAACCCTGAGGAACTCCGGAACTTGCAATATAATTATTTGATTTAAAGCCGTTATAGAATACATACTGAGACCTATTTTGAAGATATGAACCGAACAAATTAACAATTTTTAGGTCAAAACCAACCTCGCATAATATCCGAAGTAAGATGGAATGATCAACTCGATCGAATGCCTACACTACATCACTAATAAGGGTATAGGTCTATAACTATTTAACATTTTATTTAGGATAGTATGATATTAAAAACGAAAATTTTCATTTTAAATCACAGTAAATTGATCAGTGTCGTTAGTCTGCCGAAATTTAAATTTGAATTTGCCACGTTTTTAATTATCGCGGAAAACAAGTAGTTGACGTAAATATAGGTATCCATGTTTGTGATTGGTGGAGAGAAAGAAAGAGACACTTTCTTACAAAATTTAAAAAAAGAGATTAGCAACAAAGCTGGGATATTTTTTTTCGTGTTCGGGGCCGTTTAGACCATATCTTTTGAATGAATGAGTCAAACAACCTTGGAGATAGCTTAAATTCTGCGCAATTTTCTATTATTCAAGAAAAAGTAAGAATTGTTCATATCTTGAGTGTTGGTGTTAAAACAAATCCGAGCAATTTTTTCAATTTAATTAAAAAACTGAAAATTGGCTATTATCAAAAAAATTCATGCATTTTTTAAGTTTTTGGGTGCTCCGCTAAAACAGCTAGTCCTGATGAAAATGGCGCACTAACGTATACCAAGTGTTACCATATTTTGTTTTGTTTTAATATTTTTTTGCCCATCGCATTATTTTTCTGTTCCTGCAAATATTGCTTTAATAACTCTAAAATCAAATAAAGTGTATGGATTTGGTAGTTTTAAGGTGGATTTAACTTGACTGTATTACCTATAGGTATTAAAACTTAGTTTAAAGCCAATCTAGGCGAGGCATATGCTTTCTCCGCCGTGTTGTATATAAATCTTTTTTTAAGCATTAATAATTCTTTAGCTACTTACATTAAAATTAGCAAGTTTGCAACATTTTGTCAGGTTTGACGTTTGGCATATGTTATATTATAGGTTATGAACATAAATTTATTCTACAGTGACCTGTAAGTTTACATTTTCTTTGCTGATTTCAAGCCTAAACGCGATAGATGGAACCACTCTTCGTATGTAATTTCAATGTATTTTCATTATTGTACGGCGGTGTATAATAATTTGACTTTTATAGGATTATGGGTGTTATAATATAAAAATTGTTATACTCTTGAAAAAATATATATAATACAGTTTTTGTAGTCTTTTTTGTTATCCTCTTGAAAAAATATATATAATAGGTACAGTTTTTGTAGTCTTTTTTGTTCGATTATCAAATATTAACCCATATATTTGGTTTTGTGACTTTAACATTCGAAAAATTAATTATGGTTAAACCCTTTTCTATATTTTTTATATAGGTAAAAAGAAAAAATCATTGTTTTACCCTTTTGTACAATATAAATTATTAATCGAAAATGTAAATAAAAGGATAATTTAAACTTTCGGAAAATCTCAATATATTTTAAATATTGTAACCGTTGTATATTGTGTACCATATTTGACACCTTTATATGTAATCTGCATACAACCATAATGGCATTGTCGTGTCAACTAAATAAGGTAATATTAAATTACGACATTTTATCTGCAAACAGATAAAATCTGTCTTTATCATATTATATCGTAAAACGTTTTAAAGACCAGGACCTTAGACCCTTGCCGGAATCGTGATCGCGCAGATATAGATATAGACGTAATTTTTTAACGATATCTCGAATTGAAAACGGAACAATCAGAAATTCATCACGACAAATCGAGAATCGTCGAAGG